TATGTTTGGTTTGTTCTTGTTTCCCCCTTTTTAATGTTATAAACTCAGAATACACATGCTTTCAGTGTTCTTGTGGGTGAGAACTCTTCTATCTTCGGGAAAAAGATAGCCGGAAGTGATGATGATGAAGATGATCGGGCAAATGACGAAGGCGCTGCTGTTTTCAGTTCCTCTTGGTTACCAGGAACTAGTTCGGAGTAAGTCTGTCAGATTTTCACTTTGTAACTGTTCAGTGTCATATTTCTCACTACCGAGCCATTCCTTGCTGGATGTTTAATAGTTCCTCATTCATTAAGATTTTGTGAGCTTGACTTAGACTGTATGTTTCTATTTATTCTTATTAGGAGAGTGTGAAATTTATGTTTTACCTAACATACAAATTTTTATTAAAAAAAAAGTTTTATTTCTCATCTGATTGTTCGGAACTGTTGGATGCAGGACCAAACCTTTGAAAGAAAAGAAGAAAAAAACAAAGAAAAGAAAGACAGAGCAGAAGGAAAAGGAATCTGTAGACGAAGATGTTGTAGAGGATTTGGTTCTTAGTTCCGATGAAGAAGCCCCTACGAGTGATTCAGAAGTTCATTCTACTAGTGACGACAATGACGCCAACCCGGTGACTCCAAATAAGCAACACAAGAAGAGAAAACCTTCAAAATTTCAGAAGAATATACAACCTCGTATGGAGAAGCCGAAGAAGAGGAAGCGAGTTAAATCATGAGACTTACAGGAGAATCTAGATAATTGATTTCACTGTTTTGACATGGTTTTACATATTTTTAGTTCTTCAGTTCATTAGTTCTCAATCTAAATGCCTCATAGTTGGATGAAGCAAATTTTGTAGGGTAACTGAATAAATTACATACATGTAGAGGTCAGTATGATCATATATACATACAATCTCAAGATAGTTAAACTATGATCATTTCACAAGTGATGAATCTGTTATTTGCTCTATCCATTAGTACAAATTACTATACTTTTGGAATGTATTATTTTAATTATATATAAACATTTATACAAAATTATTATTTTAACAAAGAATTTATATCATTTTTTACTTAAAATTTGAAGGTGAATTTTAAAGAATTTGTAGGTTTATTTTAAATATAAACTAATGTCATTACATGATTGTATTATAACTAAAAATCAATTTAATATATAGTTTTTTTTTGTTATTTTATAATTAATATGTGATGTAAATATATATTTTTAAAATTGACTATATGGGTAGAGTCAACTTGATTCTAAAAAAAAATTGTGTATATTATTATTAATTTTTACTTATCAAATAGCTAAAGTCTAAATTTCATTCTCCACCACATTTTAGTGATGTTTTTTTTTTTAAAAAAAAAAAAAGAAATTAATTATGGTTAATTTTTCAAGAAAAAATATAATTATCTTTACTTTTTAGTAAATAGTTTTTAAAATCAAAATTCTCAATTAAGCAATTTAATTACAATAAAATCAGAAATATAAAAGAAAGAAATTATGAGATGGATAGGCAATTCCCATATAAGGAAGAACATTTACTAGTGGGGATTATAAAAAAAATATAATTTTGTGATAAGATATGTATAATTACACCATGACAATACATTTATCACATAACAATTTTGGTGTACAATATAGAGAACCCAAACCCTTAAGAGAGGAGGGAAATTTTATGTGGGTCCCATTTTATAATGATAAAATATATATATATATATTAATCAAATATAATGTAAAAAAAATTAATTAATGAGTCTATTTTAATAAAAAAAGAAAAACTGAAACGTTCGTTTACAACTATTTTGTTTTTATCTGATTTTAAATTTTAAAATTTAAAAAAATTAAATTTTATTATCCCACTGTTTTATTAACTGATAGTATCATTACTGTTGGGTCCACTTATATTAAAGTTATAACTGACTCAAATTTCTATGAAAGAAGTGAAAAAAAAAGGCAACTTTCAAAAATGAACTGTCTTCCTCATCAGTTTTACCAAATGCATCGGTAATGACCAGAATTTTTTAGTATCGTGCTAATAGGCCACTACAACTACCACTAGCTTGTAAGTCGTCTATTCTCTTCTTCTTTCTTTTCTGGTTGTTGTTGGACAAACTTGATTTTTCATCTAGATTTCCCATCAGAGTTTTTGGTGCTCAATTTTCAGATTTGATTCTTGTGGGGTACATATTTGCCTGCAAATCTATATCTCTCTCATATCTTTTACTTATGACTTTAATACGTATTCATGAAAAGCAAACTAGACGAAGAAATCATTTTCTATTAGATTCTTTTTCCCTCAAAATCTCTCCGATGAATATTGTATAAGATTTTGGTATAGATGAAGAGAGCATTGGACACAAAAGGACTTCTTCTTTTTCACCGGGACAATTTTGTCCATAAATCTCTTATTTATATATATGAAATAGATTTTTTTCAATTATTGTTCTCTTATACTAGACGATCTAAATTTTTATATCTAATTCTTTTAGATGATCATATATATATATATATATATATATCTACATGAATTAGATTTTTTTTTTTTAATTTTATAATTATTGTTCTCTTGTGATTGATCGATACAGATTTTTTTATTTCATTTTTTTTAAGTGATCAAAGAAATTTATTAATTATTTACATATATACTCTACTTGTCCTATTTATTTGTACTGTTAATTTAGAGTTTGATTGATCACGATTGTAGACAAAAATATCTACTGTTTGTTATATTCCGTTAGAATTCGTTCGAGATCTACATATTTGTCGGATACTTTGGTCGAAAATAATACTTTTAAATTATTTAGATATAGTTTCATTTTAATATCATATATATATATATATATAAGAAAATAGTAATCCTACAAAAAAATTTCAAATGTTGTTCTTAGTGTTATCAAAAAAAAAATTACTTTTATTTGTGATGAATTATTATTATTTTTTTTTTTGAAAATAAATATTTACGCAAATACATATAATTTTCAAAAAAATAACCAAATAAAATATATATATATATATATATTTGTCTTGTTTCAAAATTTTAAAATAACCAAATAAATAAATGCTTTGTGGGTTGGTTACATATAATGATGGCTTTTCCTCGTAGAATGAATAAAAGGCACCTTGTCCACTTTCTAACACATGTGTTGGTCTTATCTCTATCTGTCTTTATTATATGTGTTTCAGTTTCAATTACTAATAATAAAATAATATATTTGTCACATGTTGCATGACTATGTTACATTGTTCAAATTTTACATACTACAAAGAAATATT